GTTATGGTAGCTGTTACTCTGTAGATGCTTTTCCTAGACCTATTTAATATGTCGATTGTTCTCTTCCTCTTATATGTTGGCCATAATTGTTTAGTTATGATGCATTTTTTTATGTTTTCCCGTCTGTTATTTGCAACTTGCTGAAATTGTCTATTGATCTCTCTTTTGATCCTAGCGGGCTTGGTATTGCGCCGCCTCGAAATCGTTAAGAAAAGCTTCTGCCTTTGCCGACTCGTCTGTTTTTTCGTTACCGAAAATGTTCCTGTGACCGGTTCCTGTGTGAAGCTTGTCTTTTAATGAGCTTAGTGCTTTCTTGCAGTTGTGGCCTATACTGGAATTTGTCCGTATTTGAAACTATGTCCGTAGTCCTGCTGATTCCAACCACCCCATTCATTTATTCTTATTATAGGTACAAGTACAAATCAGCCAATTTGTCAAAAGTGCAAATCGAAGGAATACCCTTTAACTGCCTGTCCCACTTTCAAGGCGCTTCCAGTAAAACAGAGGTTCGAGCTTGTGAAATCGGTAAATTGCTTGCGTATGGATCACACTGTATACAAGTGCAGAACATCGACGTCGTGTATTTAATCGATCCCACCACACGTTGTACCAGTATTCATGTTCCTTCCCTGCTGCACCTCACCGCAACCATCCATCACACATGCATACAACAAGTATACTGGATCGGATAATGTTGGCAACAGCTGTTATTCAAGTGGGGACCAAGTCTGGTGAATACCTGCCTGCGAGAGGGTTGCTGCACTCAGGCTCCCAATTCAACTTTATGACGGAGGACTTGGCACAACACAAAACGTTAAGCTTTATGCCAATCTGAAGATGACTTAACATCAATAAATTCGGTGGTTCAAAAATTTTGAACTTTAGAAGAATTACCTTCAGAAACAAATAACATCAAATTCACACCAGAGCATAAACAGTGTGAACATTTTTTGGTGAAGAGAACTCAAGAATTGCCTTCAATACGGTTTCAAGTCAGAATGCCCTTTAAAGCTCGCCGTAAGTTACTCGGTCTTATTGCTAGAGCCTTGGATTCAAAAACTAGATTGGGATGAGTCGATTCTATTGCGCCTCGATACCTACTATAGCTCTCATCAATTAGCATTCCTCATTATGTAAACATAGAGTCGACTGCTAAATGTCTCCGATGTTTAAATAAGAGCGTACGAATGCTGTATATACACACGAGGCCAATCTACTAGTGCTGTCATATGTATGCTGCCTACTGCAAAGTCTAGAGTGGATCCGCTGAAGACAAGTCTCTTTCGTGTCTAGAGTTGTCGGCAGCACATCTTCTTGCCAAGTTATGGAGTTGCGCCAATATTAAGTCGGCGATTTGAGAAAATAACATTTTTGACAGACTTTAAAATCGTATTGCATTGGGTAAAAACGCATCTTTCTTCATTAAAAACCTTTGTCGAAAATAGAGTGTCCGAAATACAAGAATTGATTGACAATGTAAGTTGGTGACATGTAAACAAAAAAAATCCTGAGGATCAAGTGTCTCGGGGTTGTAACGTGCACGAGTTGAATAATTCGATATGGTTTGGTGGTTCACAGTTCCTCCTGGAAGACCCCACTTTATGGCCAATTAACACTCACTCCCAGATCTCCCCAGAAGGCAAAGCATTAGAGAAGAAAAAGCCCGTCATGGTTTCTGTAAATACAAAAGATAACACAATAATCGACCTGGTCGAAAAATTCCCTTCTCATCAAAAGTTGCTTCGTGTGGTCGCATATTTATTACAATGGATCAGATGACGGTGTCTAATTCCGATTAGTCGTTTCCTTCTTTACTGGCGTAGAAACCTCTTACGCGGTTATAGCCGAGTTAACAGCGCGCCAGTCATTTCTTCTTTTCACAAGGTGGTGCCAATTGCAGGTTCCAAGCGAAGCCAGGTTCTTCTCCACCTGATCCGTCCAATGGAGTGGAGGTCTTCCTTTTCCTCTGCTTCCCCCGACGGGTACTGCATCGAATACTTTCAGAGCTGGAATATTTTCGTCCATTCAGACGACATGGTTTTGCAGCGTAGCTGTTGTCTTTTAATTCGCTGAACTATGTTGTCGCAAAGAGCGCGACAGACTGCAAGCGACATCTGTCATATACTAAAATACACACGTTCTTACGGACACAGTTATGCAGTAGCACCGGTTAGCAAGAGAAATTCAGCATTATATTCTGAGGCTGATGGTATTGATACTGGTTCCAAGATAGACGAAATTATGTACAACTTCGAAGTTATGACTGCCAATAGTGACGTGGGCCCCTAAACGCGAGTGCGACGACTGTTTGTTTGTTGACAGGAGATATTTCGTCTTGCCTTCTTTCACCACCAGACCCATTTTCTTCACTGTCTTATCCATTTTAGAGAAAGCAGAACCAACGACTCGCTTGTTAAGGCCAATGATATCAAAATCATCAGCATACGCCAGCAGCTGGGAGGCGCCAGTGAAGTCCTAGATTTCTTTAGAGCTGCATACCAGCGCAAGAAAATTTACCGCAGGGAAATTCACTTCTTTCTTAGAACATCCATCAGAAAGATGTTCAATTTATGATTTTTAGCTTTTGAAATCTTCGCGAAAAGACGCTTGTTGGCAAAGGCATGCTCGGGGTGATGTTACGGCGTCTGTTTTTATGAATGAAGCGAGATCGCCTGTAGAATTTGCGGCTGCGTTTATGAATGAAATCGTTTTTGTTGTAAAATTTACTACATTTGGGCTTCGTCAATTCGGCTGCCAGTTGTTGTTTTTGTAGAACAATGTTTAAATTTTTCGTTGGTGACATATTCACATGAGTACGCATATGTATGTTTGTATGCTTGTGCATTATTTGTTCGGAAGTGTATACAAATATATGTTTGTATGTACATATAAGTATATATGAATGTATGAACATGCAGATCAATGCGCGCACATGTAATATATTGATAAGTGATAACATCATTATTTAAATTTCTGAACGCGCACATGCATATACACACATGCAATCATATGAGCAGATAATAAGATTAATATGATAGACGATGTATTTATATAATGTTGTGATAAATTTAATTTCTATTAATAAGAAACATAATACAAAAATATTTATTAGTATATTAGAGCATATTATGTAAAAATCAAATAAAGTTATTAAATATGCAAGTCGAAAAGACTATAAATATTACTATGAATGCATTCATACAAAATTATACTCATATCATAATTATGTTTACATGTGAATATTGAATTGCCGACGGCAAAACGCAAAAGCATACATATTTGCATACATTGCGAAAGCAAAAATTGAATCATGGAAATATCACAATGCTGTTGGGAGTATCATAAGGAGCATACATACATACATTTATGTCTCTTCATATTCTTGAGTATGTGAGAGAGCTGTATTTGTACACATTTTTCGCTGTTAAAAGTGTAATATCAAAGAACTTATCTTCCTTCAATATTCCCTCTTTGCGCATACATGCTATGACATCATATGCCGTACCTATATTATTTCTCTTCATATTCTCTGTTTGAGTATGTGGAGAACTGTTAAAAATGTTAACATTTCACATCGTGAATTCTGTGGTTGTGAGATGAATTCCCTATCACAATCTTATAAAATGTTCGACATCGAACCTGCACCTTCTCTATGTTTTAAGTTCTCTGGTTCACACGCCTGTCCGCAATTGAACCTCCTCTAAATTAAACGTTCTCTGCACACTCATCCAAAACAGTAAATATCCCAAAATTGAAATATCCCTAAATTTTTGATTTCGTGAACCTTCTCTATAAATGTACGTTCTCTGATGATAGCCGATATATGTATGTATGTATTTATTATTGTTGTGATAAGTTCAATTCCTATTACTACTATTAGTATAGTATATTATGTAAAAATCAAATAAAATTATTAAATATTCAAGTCCAGATTGACTGTAAATAGTACTATGCATGCATTCATACAAAATTATACTCATACCATAATAATTTTTACGGCAAAGCGCAAAAGCATACATATTTGCACACATTGCGAAAGCAAAAATTTAAGCGTGAAAATCAGGGATAATGGGATGCCCAACTTATTCCAGTGTGAGAGTCCCTCAAAATAAGATTTTTTTTATAACATTTTCCATTATGGCCAGATCGCACCAAATAAGAATTTTTGGACATTTTAAATTAAAATATCCAACATTTATTACGATTGCAAATTATTATATATTGGACTTTTAATATGGCGAAACTACTTAATTCCTTTTTATGATTTTATGGTATATTGAAACAACTGACTTTCGATATTTCAATACTTAATAAGGTGAATTAAGTCTGTTAGTTCTAAATTATTAAATGTTTTTAATCATTTGTAATAGAAAATTAATTCTATTATGCATCAAATTACAAACCGTTTCATAATATATATTTAAATTTCGCATTTTCTTTGATTTTCATTATTTTAAATTTTTGTTAGCGATCTTGAACGGCGGCAAGAAATTCCTCCGTTCACATATATTTTTGGTATAATTTCAACCTGCCCGTACCAGTCATTCCAATTGCAAAACGTCAAAACCTACTTAATCCAGTCAACTGTCAAAGTTCGGTAGGTTTTGACGTTTAGCAATTGGTCTCTCACTTCCAGTGAGAGAGGAGTTGGGGATCTCATTATCTCTGATGCACGGACTTCAAGCCACACCTCCGTCAGAGATCCCTGCCTACGTACCCGTCGGAGTGGGGAGCGTGAGGTTTTTTCGTTACGGAATTTTTGGATTCGGTTAACTTTAATTAATATCAAAGAAAAAGAGATACTGCATGAATAAAATAAATAAATAATTATAATTGCATTAATCACTAAAACTGTATCTCAATTTTAGGCTCTTATAGAGAATTGTTAATAGAACAAAAACAATATGTGCAACATAATTAGAGTTTGCATAAAAATCATTTCTTTATTATTTCATTTAAAGATAGATACATATTTAATAACAATTATATTAACTTATCATCGTTTATTAAAAAAAAAAACATACATACATATTTTGTTATAATGACATTAGCATATCAACGTCGTTTTTATTACTGATATGGTGTGAAATATCACCATCATCTTTCTGCGCAAAAATACTGTTATGTCTGCAAAATATGTGTTTATAGTTAGCGGATAGCAGAGATTTGGCATATTCAAATAATGCATTGGTATCTTGGTCTACAAATTCATTAAATATTATTCCTCGAGGAGACAGAATTTTCTTATTGCTAAGAAACATATCCTTCATTTTATGTGTTTTAAATTTTACAACTATGTTGACTTTGTTATAATTTTGAGTCCTTAGAAAAAACTTCCGATCAAAAATAAACACTGTTTCAATATCAGAGTGCTCACATGGTACTTTCATAATATTAGCAAACATTAAAATTGTTTCGATGAGAGGAGTTTTAATATCCGATTTAGAAACTCCTTTCATTATTATACCTTTCAATTCAAAGGGCGAACTCAATACTTCACTTATCCTTTGACAACTCAAGTTAGAACTTTTCTCCTCTGCTTGAACATTTTTATTCATTTCCTCCAACTTTAATTCCGCCAGCATAAGTTGAGCTTTTAGTTGTTCTACATCCTCCTCAGTTTTTGGCTTTTCCAAATTTAAATAAATTTTGTGGGATTTTGGATTGAGTTTGCGACATTGAGGACAGGCAAAAGAAGACGTGCTGAAAAATAATAGAAAAGTACAGAAATTTTATAATAATACCAAAATAGCACAGCTGACGATACATAAATGTAAATAATGGTTTATGGTATCAACAAAAAAGCCCAGATGTTAAACAGTTAAGTTAAATATGGAATTAAATATATTTTTGCACTATTTAATACAAAACAACTATGTAGAGCCGGATTAGTGAAGTGCTAGTGGATATAAAAGTTAAAAATATCAATGTGAAATGCATAATAGGAGAGAACGCATTTTAAATAGTTGAATTTTTGAACTTTAGAAGCAAGTAAAACAAAAAAATAAGTCAGTGGCACATTCGTTCGTTGTTCATGGTTGTGTACGGTTGATTTTTTCATGTCGAGCGCACATATACATACTCGCTGCATAACTTCTCGTTACTTGGTGTAATTGGCGCAATTTAACCTAGCTTTGACATTTTGAGCTTCAATTCGTTACACTTTCCACGTGTTTTTTTTATACGTTTAATTATAAAGTTAAACCCACAATTTAATCGGGTAAGAACGTAAATTCTTTCGCAATGCCCCCTGGGGCCAACAAGCTGGGGGATAATAGGTTTGCACTATTATCCCCGGGTCCTGAAAACAAGAGGAAAAAGCCAGAAAATTCAACGCTGGAATTCTTCCCGGAATTACGCCAGAAAACCTATTGCATCCACTTCTTGCTTTGCAGTAAATAAAGGTATTCAGGCCATAAGCAAAGACATTAACAAAATCACATCGCTTMGTGACGGCAGCCTACTTCTTTTGGTCAAAAACCAAAAAATCGCTGACAAATTTTTACAAACCAAACATCTTCCCGGAGCTGGTGCTGTTGATATATCTCTTCACAACTCTCTGAACTCAGTAAAGGGTACAATTTACGCCCCATTTATCTGTCAGCTTGCTGATGAAATAATTAATGGTATAAAAGGTCAAGGAGTATCCGATGTTTATAAATTTACGAAGATAAACAATGGTAATCGCGTACCTACTGGTGCTTTATTATTATCTTTTGATAAATATACTTTACCTAGTCGTATTGAAGTTGCCTGGTGTACCCTCGATATCCGTCCCTACTATCCTAATCCCATACGCTGCAAGAATTGTCAGTTGCTGGGTCATACTGCTAAGCGATGTAACAAGACCCCATCTTGTACTATCTGCAACCTACCCCCAAATCATACAAGTTACAACTTCAAACAATAATTCTTCATCCCCTACCAACATACACTCAATCCATAATGATTGCCCCAAAACCCCTTCTCCCTCCGTTTCTTCTATACAATTCCCCCTCTTCATCCTTCTCACCCCTTTCCACAACTACTTCTCCCACCACTATAACCCGTTCCACAACTTCACCGGTACCCTCTTGCCATCCACAATCACATACCCAAGTATTCGTAGATACATAATTTTTTTTTTTTTTGTTGTTAAATACATTTTATTTGCAATCTATTTTAGTAAATAATAAACAAATTTGATAACAAAACCATAATTTCACTTATATTTTCTCATGAGATCTCATGGGAGATCAAAAATAATATACAATATTACAAAATGTTCTAAATACAAAAGTTTAGGTAAAAAATTTAATTAACATTAGTAACATATGTAATTAAACATTAACTTAATTCCTAAATTTGAGATCTAGAACATGTTGTCTTTCTAATAACATGACTGCCAAAGGATTGTCATGGTAACTTATCCTGTGCAAATATGTTGAACTAAATCTTTTAATTTCATCTTTAACAAAAGGTATATTCAGGTTTGAATGAATACCTTATTGTTGTGATGAACCAAGCTACGTTTGTAATTAATCTTAGAGTTTTCGATTGGTATCTTTGTAGAATTTCAATATTTGAGTTACAAGCAGTGCCCCAAAGTTGCATACTGTATGTCCATATAGGTTTTAGCATAGATTTATATAATAGTAATTTATTTTCAAGATGTAACTGCGATGTATGTCCAAGGAGCCAATAAAGTTGTTTGGTTTTTATTTTTAATTGTTTATTTTTGGCTTGTATGTGCTGTCTCCATGTTAGTCGTTTGTCCAAGTGCATGCATACATACATAATTATATCTTAATTAAAATCCAGTTTACTCCACATTAGTAAAAAACATAATTGTCATTTTCCACCTATTTCATTCAACAATGTAAATATTTCATGTTCTCCTACACTTAAGTTTCTTGGATTAATTCTAGATAGTAAATATGCATTCAAACAACATTGTCAATATATTAGAAATAGAATTACTAAAAACTCAAATATTGTTAAATACCTAGCATGCAAGCGTTCGCTCATTGGCCCATCTTTGCTAATTAATGTTGTCAAGGCACTCATACTCTCCGTCATCAATTACGCTGTTGAAATATATGGGCATCATTCAGTCACCTAAAATTGTTGGCTGCACCGTATCACTCCGCTGTTAGAAGATCGCTTCGAGCATTCCCCACGTCACCAATCAAAAATATATTAGCATAGTCCGGTCTTCCCTCTCTGATAGACAATATGGAAGACACCACATACAAATTATACCCGAAGATCATCATTGGTTCAAACCTTGTGCTTCAAGATGCCTTTTCTTCGTCATCATCACGTATCCGACCTCCAAAAATTGAGTCAGCTATATATAAATGCACCATATTCGCCAAAACAAACAGCTTGCCATTAAAACCTGCTAAACTTCATAAACGTCGTCATCCACAATGGTCGATTCCAAAAAAAACACGTTTATTGATAAACTTAAGGAATGTGATCTACTGAGGAGAATTTAAGCCAACACATTTATTCAACGGACAGCTGATAGCCTCTGAAGCTAGCGCTGCATGTTTTAGGTTGTACATATGTTATTAACATTGTATAAGCTTTT